ACAAGAAATGAATTCAAAGAAGGAATACAAGCAATAGACAATTTCGAGCTGCCAAAACTCCCAGACCAGTCCCAATTAACAAACAGCCTACCTATCCCTGGCTGATTATTTCTATTTATACTCATAGTCCACGCAGGGACATAACTGGACCCACATAACAGCAAGTCTAACTAACTAACTGTTTTATACTTCCTCCTTTGATAGACCTTTCTAAAGAATTTATCGGGCTGCTGCTCCTTGTCTCTATCATCACTCCCCCTCTGAAATATCACCTTGTCCCCAAGGTGAAAATCTGGGAAGAATTTCTGTAATTCTTGCAGAGGTTCCCAAGAATTCTCAAAGTCAGGTAACTCCTTCCACTTTATCAGCACCTCAATTACCCCATCCTTGTTTCTTCTGGCCTCCAACACCTTTTCAGGTGTAACTTGTAATTCCAAATCCTCCTTCAGGCATTTGGGTAATGGTTGAAAGAAAGTTGTAGGTGGTATGGTCTTTTTTAACAAAGAAACATGAAAGACAGGATGTATTTTACTGTCTTCTGGCAGTTTCAACTTGAATGCCACCTCACCTATCTTCTCCTTTACTTCAAAAGGCCCATAAAACCTTGGGCTCAGTTTCTGGTTCATTCTTTTAGCCAAACTCTTTAGCTTATAGGGCTGGATTTTAAGATAAACAAAATCCCCAATGTCAATCTGCACTTCTCTTCTATGCTTGTTTGCCTGCTGCCTCATTTGATTCTGAGCTCTTGCAAGATTTTCTTTTAACTCCTCCAACATACAGTTTCGCTGTGCAGTCAATCTGGATACCTCCTCCACAGTAGTTAGACTGACATCCCCTCTAATTACTGCAGGAGGTTCTTGTCCAAACAATGCTTTATAAGGTGTTTGTTTTAAGGAAGCATGAAAGTTAGTATTATACCAAAACTCAGCCCAATGTAACCATTGACTCCATTGTTTTGGTTTGCTACCTGTCAAACATCGCAAATAGGTTTCTAAGCACCTGTTGACTACCTCGGACTGACCATCCGTCTGAGGATGATAAGCTGTACTGTATTTAAGTTGAGTGCCTGCCAACTTAAAGATCTCAGACCAAAAAGAGCTCATAAAGAGGCTGTCCCTGTCGCTGACTATGGTTCTAGGAAACCCATGAGTTTTAACCACCTCCTTGGTAAAAACTTCTGCTACTTCCTTCGCATTGAAGGGATGCGCAAGTGCTATGAAATGGGCATATTTAGTCAGTCTGTCCACCACAACTAATATGGTGTCCTTCCCATTAGATCTTGGCAGTCCACCAATAAAATCCATCGTAATATCAGTCCAAATATTGCTGGGAATTGGCAGAGGTTGTAATAATCCAGAAGGTTTCAAAGCTTGATATTTATTTGTTTGGCAAACTGCACAACTTTCCACAAATTTCTGGATATCTTTCCTCATTCCTTGCCAAAAGAACAAATTAGATATTCTTTTCATTGTTCTAAAGTATCCAGAATGTCCTCCAATTGGAGAATCATGATACTCCTTCATGATCTTCAGAATTCTAGGAGAATCCTGAGGTAACATCAGCTTGTTTTTATAATATAACAATCCTCTTTTGATCTGAAAATCCTTGTACTGGTCTGGAAAAGAAACTGTTTTCTGTATCAAGGCTTGGCACTTGTGATCCTTGCTCAATTCCTCCTCTAAACCCTCCCATTCCTGGCAGTTAACCATCGAAAGTGGAAACAATGAAGGTCTTCTAGATAGTGCATCTGCTGCTCTATTCTCAGCCCCTGGCTTATATTTGATGATAAAATTATACCCCAAGAGTTTAGAAGTCCACTTTTGTTGCTCCTCTCCCAATAGTCTTTGGTCAGTTAGGAATTTAAGACTTTTTTGGTCAGTATGAATCTCAAAGGTCCTTCCCAATAAGTAGGGTCTCCATTTTTGTACTGCCAACACAATTGCCATCAGCTCCCTTTCATAAACTGATCTGTTTTGGTTCCTTTTAGATAGTTCTTTGCTCATGAATGCTAATGGCCTTCCTTCTTGCATTAGGACTGCCCCCAAGCCTGTCCCAGATGCATCAGTTTCAATAGCAAAAGGTTTATTAAAGTTGGGAACTGCCAAAACTGGTAGAGAAATCATTGTTCTCTTCAGCTCTTCAAAAGCTTCAGTAGCCTTCAAATCCCAATTGAAATTGTCTTTTTTGAGAAGCTGAGTGAGTGGTGATGCAATTTTACTGTAGCCTTTCACAAATTTTCTATAATAGCCTGTTAAACCCAAAAAACCTCGCAGCTCTTTCAAATTATTGGGTTTTGGCCAACTCATCATAGCCTCAATTTTGGATGGATCTGCAGCAACTCCCATCCCTGATATAATGTGTCCCAGGTATACCAATGTAGGTTGTCCAAATGAACATTTTTTGAGATTTAACACCAACTGGTTATCTCTTAGGGCAGATAACACTGCCCTCAAATGTTCAATGTGGTCCTCATTGGTTTTACTGTACACTAAAATATCGTCAAAGAAGACTAGCGTAAATTTTCTCAAGAAAGGCCTTAATACCTGATTCATCAAGGCTTGAAATGTAGACGGGGCATTAGTCAAACCAAAGGGCATCACCAGATATTCGTAGTGCCCTTCGTGTGTCCTGAAAGCAGTCTTCTTTCGATCCTCTTCTTTCATTCTTATCTGGTGGTACCCAGATTTTAAGTCAAGCTTAGAAAAAATCTTTGCGTCCCCAAGTTCATCCAATAGCTCCTCTATTATAGGTATGGGAAATTTATTAGGAACTGTGATTTTGTTAAGGGCTCTGTAATCCCCACAGAATCTCCACCCTCCGTCTTTCTTTTTGGCTAAGAGTATTGGGCTACTATAGGGACTGGTGTTGTGCTGAATGATTCCAGATTGCATCATCTCTTGCACAATCTTTTCTATTTCTGCCTTTTGATACTGTGGATATCTATATGGTCTAATATTTGGTATCGTAGCACCCTCTTGTATATTGATTACATGGTCACAGTCCCGGCTAGGAGGTAGTCCTTGCAAAGGTTTTGATATTTCTGGAAATTCTGCAACAATTTTATCCCAATTTGTGTCCAGGTCTGCTCCTTTCTTCTCCTTGTCTACCTTCCCTTCACAATAGACAAAATACCCATCTCCATTGTCTTGGATGATCTGTGATAGAGTCTTTAATGAAACCTCCATGGAATTCAGTTTTGGTTCCCCTTCAATAGCTTTGTCCACACCTTGCTGCTTCCATTTAATTGTTTGCTTTTGGAAGTTTATTTCCACATCACCTAAACTGGTGAGCCATTCCAACCCCAGAACCATATCAGTTCCTCCCAAACTGAGTATATAAAAGTTCTGCGTGATATCAGTACCCTGCAAGCTCAAAATCAACTGCTCACATCTTCCATTATTCCTTATCTTTTCCCCATTCCCAATCTGTACTTGATATCCTGCTATTGTTGTGAAAGGTAGGTCCAACTGTTCCACTAATTTTTGTGAAATGAAATTATGTGTGGCCCCACTATCAATCAAGATTTCTACCTGTTGATCTCCTTTATTCCATTTCAGGTTTCCTGTCACTTTAAAAGCTCTCATGGTAGGTATCCCCTCCTTACTCATGAGAGATAACTGTAGAGATTTCGACTCCATTTCTTCTTCAATTTCTTCTTCTGAAATCACAGGTTCCACTCTATCTAAATCCCCTTCATCTTCTGAATCTTCCACCAACATTAACTTGTAGTTTTTCAACTTACAAGTGTGCTCTTTATTCCATTTATCTCCGCATTTAAAACACAGACCTCTCCTACTCCTTTCCTGATATTCTTCATGAGTTAATTGGGGTCCCACTTTCTTTATTCAAGAAGGATGTATTTCTGTGAATTTCTTCCCCATAGCAGTAAAACCCCTAGGATTGCTACTGCCTTCCCCTGCACCTTTTCCCATGTGACCATATCCAGAACTTCCAACTTTGTTTTTATAGCTGTCACCCCAATATTGATGTTTGGCAGTAGTATTTTCCTTTTCCTTCATTCCACTTTTGTCTTCCTCTTTCTTTTTGCCTTGAACTATAACATTCTTGTCCTCTATCCATGTAGCCCTATCCATGATTTCAGATAAGGATCTTGAAGTATGCAATTTCAACTCTGCCTGGATTTCTTCCTTTAAACCTTTTATGAAGACTCCTCTCAACAGTTCTCGATCCATGTTCTTCTGATGTGAAATTACCTTCTCAAATTGTACTCGGTAAGCCTCAACTGATCCTGTTTGCTTCAAACTCAGCATAGGACCATAAGGATTCTGAGTTAATTCAGGTTGGAACCTGCGGACAACCGACTTCTTCAATGTTTCCCAGTCAGTTTCTTCTGTCTGATTTTCCCAAACATTAAACCAGTTTAATGCCTTATCCTCCATCGCCACCATAGCTGCTTCTACTTTTTCCTCTTCCTCAATATTATTCAACCTGAAGTATCTTTCCATACGAATTATCCAATTGTAGGCATCGATTCCATTGAACAGAGGTAAATCGATTTTTCTACCAAATTGAGCAGATACACGCCGATGATAAGTCGTATGAGAATGAACAGAAATACCTCTCGAGCTGGTAGGACTGCTCGATTCTGGAGATCGTTGATGATGCCTGGATCGCGTTTGCCTGGATCGTGTTCTCCTCCTATCGTTTGATCCATTCATCGCGTCCAACCTTTCCGATAAAGCCGCGATTGCCGTCTGAACCTGCGACAAAGTCTCCTGCGTCGCTATATGGTTGCGTTCCATCGTTGCATGATTTCTTTCCATCGCCATGTGATTACGTTCCACAATTTCCAATCTCTGTTCCATTTTTGCTCTAGTACGAACCATTCACCCAATAAGGCGGAAAAAATTTCTGGTAATCTTCAATGTCAACTTAGGTCACCAGAATGATGCTCTGATACCAATGATAAAACACTGGTAGTAATTCGATTCAGAACAATTGAAACAATCAAAGAAACTTGTCAAGAACAATTTACAGAATCTGTCTTATTGAACAAGAAATGAATTCAAAGAAGGAATACAAGCAATAGACAATTTCGAGCTGCCAAAACTCCCAGACCAGTCCCAATTAACAAACAGCCTACCTATCCCTGGCTGATTATTTCTATTTATACTCATAGTCCACGCAGGGACATAACTGGACCCACATAACAGCAAGTCTAACTAACTAACTGTTTTATACTTCCTCCTTTGATAGACCTTTCTAAAGAATTTATCGGGCTGCTGCTCCTTGTCTCTATCAATTACTCACTTCCCTTTCTGTTCGTCTACAACTTCTGCAAAGAGGCGGCACGATGAAAATTGTGTATTCAAGAACACATCTGACAGCTTGAGCAGTTAAAGCTTTGTGAAACCAAGGGAAGTGCTAAATAATTCATGCTTGAAATTTCAGAATACTGACATTTAGGTAAAACTTAGGCATTGTAAACTTGTCTATCAAAAACAGATATTCTGCAGTACTACACTGCTACCTAACGAACGCAAAATGAATTGAAACAAATCTTAAACCAATTATAGAGCTCACCTGCCTAGCCGGCCTGAAAACATCATATATAAAGCATTGTATTTCGCAGTCCTTGAGCATTGGGTTATGCCTATTGGCACTTGACAGTCTCACGCAGGAGCAAGCGCCAAAGTACTGTTCTAGCCTTTCCCAGCCGACTTCAATACTTTATGAGTTAAGGTGTGTTTGCTAATGCTTAATAAAAGCACTTTCAGCTTTTTTGGAGGTTAAAAGCTAAATGTAGTGTTTGCAAAAGAAAAATTCAGCTTAATTTAATCACTTTTAAGCCAAAAGCCAAAAGCAGGTCAGGGGATGCTTTTTTCTGCTTCTTGGTATTTCTGTAAATAACTTCAACTTTTGGGATGTTTTTATTTCAAAATATATAAATTAATCCAAAAGTACCCTTATACCAACAAGCATCGTACAGACCATCTTCCATAGACCATCTTCCATCGTCCCAACAAGCTTCACGCGACACCCACCTCCCTCCATCAACCAGAAATTGCCGCCGGCCATCTTCCCCACCACCAATCCACCACTCTTCTTCACCAGCAGTCCAGCACCATAGCTGATTTGCTTCGTCCGCCAAATAGAAATTCTCCATCGCCACTCCCGCAGCAGATTAGCTTCGCCGCCGTCGGTCTGTTTCGTCGCCGCCGGTCTGCTTCGCCGCCGTTGTTACCTCTCTGTTGTGCCCAAATTCCTTTTACCAATGTTGTATGTGTATATATATTAAATCAAATCCATTCACTATTTATTCTTAAAACTCCACATACCTAGAAAAAACAGATTAGCAATCCAGATTCCAGGATACCAAGAAGATGTACATATCATTGACCCCTATGGCACTCACTGGAAGAATCTCCCAACGGCACTCTAGCTCATTGGAAATGGGGAAAAGAGATAAAAGGAGACAGCAGTGGATGCACTATACAAGTTGGGCATATTTTTGTATTTTAACCATACATTACATCAAAAATCACTTTTTTACCAAACACTTCAACTTTTACATTTTAATTAAAATCACTTCTATTCCCAAACACTACCTACTTTTACTATAAATCACTTTTCCAATAATCTCTTAAAAAAATCACTTTTAAAAAGCACAAGCAATCGAAAACACTCCCTTAATGGCTTTCGAGATTAAGTTTTCATGCTGAGTAGAAAACAGAAGGAGAGCCTTGGTGGTGCACTGGTTAAAGTCTTGGGAGCGGCCATGTCAAAAAATGAAAAGGGAAGGCTTGCCTGGAGGGACCCTTCAGCTCAATATAGTCTTTGTTCATCCAAATGTTTCCTTAAATAATCAGATGAAAAAAATAAGAAGGGTCAGTATAGAATGTCCTTTATTTAAAATGCATGGGAAAATAAGTGTTCGCTAGAAAATGCATTTCTGAACTGACCGTAAAAAAACAGATGAAAGCTTAACAATATTTTCACCAAGGAAATGCTGTGTCCCTAAAGAATGTTTAATCAGAGGCTTTGAAGTAAAATTAAGACACTGCTAATTGAATAAAGCCAAGTCAGTAAGTCACTGTTTCCTGGTGAAAGGCATTTCCAAACATACTTCGTTGTAGAAAAGCAAGCCCTATCAGGGCTGGTGGGCACGTTAATCTTCCCAATCAAGACTACACTGGTGTATGTAGACAGAGCTGAATGAGGAAAGTCAGGTTCAAATGGATAGTGAATAACGGAAGAGAGGTCTGGCTTCCAAAATATCTTCTTAGGCCCTCAATTAGTTTGGCATCAATATTTATCTGTCCAAATATCCAGTTCTCATAATGTATACTGGTTACACTGCCCATGCGTTGCACCCGATGACCGGAGCATGGGAGTTGAGTATATTTCCAATAATTTAGATACAATTTTATAAAAACTACATAAACTTTAAAATTAAAGTTTTAGATAATCTCATCACTTTTGAAAATTAAAAAATTGTCATGTGACATTATCATATCTAATATTTACCACATTGGGTAATTAGTTATTTTCTTTCTTAGTTCTTTCATATACTTACATGAAATATTTCTTTGATGAGAAAAATAATGATGTTAGAACCTCCCAATGTAATAATAAATGCCCCAAATTCACCTTTGTGAATTGCACTACAACTATTTTCTTTAATAGTTTGATGTTTTTACATATTCTTTTACTTGTCTGACATGAATAAACTTTTGGTTTTGAAAATTTGTTTGGATACATTTCTTACACCATCTCTTTTTAGATCATTATTATAATAGTAATAATGATTATAAATATCAAGGTGTACTAAAGAATAGTTGGAATAAGACAAAGCCACATCCGTGCTATGCAATGATACAAAGTATGTTTAGATATTACAATCTCGCATTACAATTAAAAATTGTATTCATAACTACTCCCTCCGTCCCCTTTTAAATGTCCCGTTTTACCATATTGGAATGTCCCCATTTAATTGTCTCATACCTTATTTGGTAAAGCTTGTGTGGTTCAAAATCATTCCGACTTTATTCTTACTTTATCAATTAATATCAACCACACAAACCCACTTTTCTTAAAATTCGTGTCACCCTCTTCCGGGACATTTAAAAGAGGACGGGGAGTATATTCTAAAAAATAGAACAATAAACTGTGAATTAATGAAAAATATAAAATCCAAATTAAGTATATAAAATTAAGGAAATGTGATATTCTGTTCTCTCATTCCTCTTCAGGGTTAAATAGTACTACGTAATATATTAGATTTTATCTTAATAAAGAGTACCAAGTTACTGTTTTCTCATCAGTCAAATAATCAAGAGCTCAAAGGAAAAGCTAACTGAGCTATAAGCCTATAACTCATAAATTAGCACAGAATGGCACACACACTCATACACATCAAGACTCTAAGAGTGTAAGACCAATTTATCTCATAATCACCTTTTATATAGGCGTTGGAAGAAAATGCTTCTACTGTAGGAGGGATACGTAAGAATGTGGGGCAAGCTACTATTGCGTGTGAGGAATGGAGCACACAAGATAGTTCTTTGCCGCAGAAATAAGCACATGAGAGTAAGTTGATTGGGATAGCACACTATGGATTATTACTACATCTTAACTACTAATTACCTAAGCAATGCAATCCCCTGCCACAGATAAAGGATGTACATAAGCAATCACCAGTATGTGATCAACAACATGAAAAAACCATTCCTCATATCAAATTTCTAAGCAAATGCTTCCTGGTCAACGTGAAGATACCAAGTTAATATGTGAATGCTGGAAGAAAACGTTGCAGCAAATCTACTATAGGAATGAAACTTAGATGATGATCTATAAATAGATCATAAGATAAAGACCATACCAACACAATTTTTAACAAAGCAAAGAAACTGAGTTAATCATCAATAGTCTATCTTCAATCAAATAATCAAGAGTAAGACTTCACTCAAGTTTTACAAATAGTGCAATGGAAGTGAAACTTACCAATGTTTGAAAGATATCTTAATAGAGTTTTATGAACAATGACCCTTCCTTCTTCACTTCTTCTGAAACAAAGACAACAGCAAGAAATAGAGTTCTCAGTTTCCAAATGAAAATTTGTTTTTAAAGTTACATAAAACTAATTTAGCAACAGAGTTATAGAGAATGTACCCCCAAGCTCAATAAAAGAGGAGGGATTAAAAGATCAATCGACATTTAATGGAAGTGAGATATAATACATATAACTTTCAATGCAGACTTAGCTAGCTATTAATCATCGATATCTTTGTAACTGTTTGAAGTATAAAAGGAATCTCAAGTAAAAGATGTTAAAAATGAAATTACTTTAAAAATACATTGGTTCGAAATCCATTCTAAAAAGAAATGCTTTTACTAATGTTGGGATAAAGTTTTCTACATAGTTAAACTAATAGTAAAAAAAAATCAATAAAATGTTTAATAACATCCAAAAATAGCCAAACTAAAATAGGTTCTTTGAGAAATAAGTTAAATGTAAGAAAGACATTACTAAATATGAATTATAAATAATACTGAACACTAATCTGCCATACTTTGTACAGAAGCTTATAAAGACTTTAGTATTAACAGTTGACAGTCAAATTTTTAGAATGTAGCAAGGGTACATTCTTTTGCCATGACATTTACAACTTTAAGGGCACATTTTCATTAGACAAACAAAAAAACATGATAAAAAAGGTTGCATAGTCTGAGCATAAAAAAGTGATAATGCAATAGTCTTTTAAAATCCAAGGCAGGGACTAATAAAATCAAAAGCAAAAGAAAAGTTGGGCTGTTTCCTTATTGAGTACTTCGATGGCATATTGGCATTGGTGAAATGCCATGCAAACAAATTCATTTTATAAAACATCGAAAGACATAGTAGCATTCAAGTTTTTTTATTTTTGTTTCCTACCCTAACAAAACTGTTATTTTTGTTTCTTTAAATAAATAAATAAAGCTGGAAAAATCTGTAGCCAATCGCCAACCTGTTATCTAGAATAGATATATAACAAATGCAGATAAACTAACCTTGAAGGGCTCATTGTCGGTTCTAAATTCTATCCGAGACATGTATTTTAGTCAAAACGGGAAATCCTCTGTGCCAAACAAAAGATAAATTAACTTAATAAACTTCAATTGCAATATCATTTGGAGAATAAGGAAACCTTTAGTGCACATAGGATACAGTTAAATGATACTATGGGGGTGTTTGGAACTGATTCTGCTTCTGCTTCTTTTTTAAAGCAGAAGCAGAATCAGAATCAGTTTTCACCCCAGCTTCTAAAAAAACTGATTCTATGAGTAAATTTGAGTACCAGAATCACTTCTGCACTTTCACCCAAACAATCCAGCTTCTGCTCCCTGAAGGAGCAGAAGCAGTTTTAAGAATCAGATCCAAACACCCTCTATGTATTAAATAATCATTTGGTGAATAAGGAAAACCTTAGTGCACATAGGATACCCTTTACAGGCTATTGTTTAAAAATCCTATATAAACATATTACATACTTCGTATTACCTATTACTATGAGGGCATAATCCGTCTTTTGAATTGTTGACGTCTTCTAATAAATTTCAATCCTAGAAATTCAAAGTGATGCAAATGAGCAGTTGATGATATCATTCGACCAAATTTCTTCTCCTTGGCTGGTCCAGGTGAACTTCCAGTCTGATCACCAGTAATTACCACATGAACATTCACCATCTCTGAAATGATGAAACCTCTTTCCATCTCTCACTATAATCTCTCTTGCCTCCAAGTTTGAAATTAATTTGAACGCATTGTGGCAGTCCCCACATATACGAAGGTTCTTGAATACCCTAATTGTGGCACCACGAGGTAGCTTCAAAAGACCAAATATAACTGCAAGTTTTTCACTATGAGTTGACAGGGCATGCTCCTTTTGTTCAATCTCCATATCATGCAGCACATACTTCGTATCAGGAATATATCCTGCTTTCCTCATCTTTATTGTTAATTCCTTCAAGTACATGTAAACTGCCTGAATCTCAGGATGCTTAGTATCATCCACCAAAAATACATGGACCTTGTTTTCAACTTCAATCCAACTACAGGCAGGCTCCTTCTTGACCCCTCGTTCCCTCATTAGTTTTCTCACATTGGCAGCATCGTTCCATCTGTTTGCAGAAGCAAACGTGTTAGCCATAAGTATGTAGGTTCCATCATGTTGTGGAACCAAGCCGAATAGTTGATCTGCAGCTTGCACTGCCAGCTCAATATTTCCATGAAGTCGGCAACCAGAAAGAAGAGCTTCCCAAATAGGTGCCCTAGGTTTATAAGGCATACTCTGGATTACATTTGTTGCTTCTGAGAACCTTCCGGCTCGAGCCAACAAATCAATAAAGCGAGCATAGTGATCTTCTCCTGGGCTAATGCCATACTTGGTATGCATTAAATTAAAATAATGTTGTCCTTCTTTAACTAACCCTGCGTGGCTACAAGCAGATAAAACTGTTAGAAAGCTTATACGGTCAGGAGTTATATTCTCTTCCAACATCTCTTCAAAAAGTTCTATTGCAAGAGCACCGTGACCATGCTGCCCCAAGGCTGCAATTATAGCATTCCAAGATACTGAATCAACGCATGGCATCCTATGAAACAGAGACAGTGCAGCCTCAATGGCTCCACACCGTCCATAGAACGTAACGAGTGCATTTCCAGCAGAGAGGCTTGAATCAAATCCGCGACGAATAATCTGAGCATGGACCTGGCGTCCTGTTTCTAATGCAGCAAGAACTGCACAAGATGTAATGGCTCCTGCAAAAGCATAGTCGCATGGGTCAAACCCATTTAGTTTCATTTGATTAAATAGCTTCAAACCTTCTTCCCCAAGCCCATTTTGTGAACATCCAGATATCATCACTGTCCATGTTAAGGAGTTCTTCTCTGGCATCTCGGAAAAAAACAGCTTAGCTTCGTTAACTAACCCTGCACTCACGTAGGCGGACAAAATTGTGTTCCATGAGATCAGGTCTTTTGTGATCATTGAATCAAATATTTTCCTAGCACCATCAACTCTACTGCATTTCCAATATAATGTAATCAAAGAATTGTTTACTGACACTTGGAAATGATCTTTAGCTTCTGTTTCCATCTTTATGAAGTAAGCATGTACCTGCTTTCCATGGAGAAATAATCTAGCATCAGCACATGCACTGAGAACATTAGAATATGTAAATTCATCCTGTTGAATTCCTAGCAAGTACATTTGTCTATAAAGTTCTAATGCTTCAGAGAGAAAACCCTTATGAACATACCCAGAAATCATTGCATTCCATGCCACGAGTATCTTCTCAACCATCCCATCAAACACTTTCCGTGCAGCATCAACATTATCATTCCTTATAAGACCCACAATGATAGTAGTCCAAGACAAATCATCCCTCTTGGGAAGCTCATCAAATAGCTTCTTAGCTGAGTCCATTAACAGCAACGAAGATGCAAATGGAGAAGATGCGCATCTCACATACAGTGACATAAGTGCATTCACCACAGATGTAACTTTTCCAGTCCCAGACTTGATAACAGCACAATGTAACTGGTGGCAATGCAATTCACAATCAGCTATATGTGCCGAAGCGGCAAGCATACTTGTGTATGTGTACTGGTCAGGCAAAAAGTTCTTTCGTTTCATGTCATTAAACAGTTTTATGGCAGCATGGCCGTCATTGTGATGTGAGTAGCATGTGATCATAGAATTATATATAACAGTGTCACGCATGATTAGAGGGGCTTTATGGAAAATGTCTGAAGCAAGCGCAGGATCACCGGATGCAGAATAGGCAGCAATCATGGTCGTTCTTGCAATGACATCTGGTTGTGGAATTTTATCGAACAGTTGTCTTGCGTAAGTGAGGTTTGAGGACTTACCATACACATCGATCAGGCGGTTCAGGATGTGACCCCGGGGCTTGAATCCAGAGGTGATCATGTTGGCGTGGATAATTCTGACAAGGTAAGATGTAGCATGTCTGTGTATGTTAGAGGAACATAGTTGAAGGTTCGCCGCATAACGGTTGGCGATTTTACTAATGTCCAGTTGGCAAATATGTATTTCCCGAGTCAAGGATTCAACAGATTTTGTGGCGAATGCATTGTTCATCATAGATGTTCTTGGATAATTGCAGAACAAATGCATCAGGTTAGAAAGGTACTCTTACATGAAGGCATGAAACAATATTTTTTTTTTTTGCGAAGGGCATGAAACAATATTTTGAACATGAATGTCAAGGGCGCATTTGAATGATGCTCTGATTCCTCTCACATACTTTCTGCAAATTAGAAAAACAGTATAAAGTTCATGAAATAATTACATATTTTTGACTAAAGTAAAGATTATTTGCAAAAATGTGACTAGTTACTAAAGTAGTGCTAGAATCATAGTAACTTATGTTCAACTTTTAAATTTAAATTATCATGACACTACATTGTAGTAACTATTAGTCATATTTATGCAAATAAGTTTTATTTTAGTGATATTTTTGAAGAAAATAAAACTCATTTATTATCTTAATACTACGTAGGATTTAATAAGTCTTATATGGGGAAGAAAACATGGTTGCTCCTATTTTAAAACTTTGTGTATCTTTTAGTCCTATATTGAGCAATTTTTATTTTATTTTAGCAACTACCACCATACAAATTAATGGGGAGTATTTTAAATTCTACTACAAGAGTGTTTGAGATGGCTTAAAAAAGGCGCTTTTTAGCTTTTGGCTTAAAAAGGCTGAAAAGGGTGTTTTCAAATGACAGCTTCTGCTTAAATTAATCACTTAAAAGCTAAAAGCTGGAAGCAGGTAGAAGGGTGTTTTAAACTGCTTCTCACTTTTTCTATTACACAAAAAGTACTTATTTTACCAAACACTACCAACTTTTACCTTTTCAGAATCACTGTTTTCTCAAACACTACCAACTTTTACTATTAATCACTTTTCCCAAAACCACTTTAAAAAATCACATTTTTAAAGTTGAAGTAATTGCAAACACTCCCTACCTCGGTCGTTAACAAAAGTATCCAGTTACTATTTTGTACTCAACTCGAATACTCTATGGTTTTTAATCTTTTACATTATATATTCAAATTTTGTCAAATTTAATTTTTTTGCGACTTCACAAAACTTTTAATATACTTTAATTTTATTTATTACGAATGTGTAAGAAATTTCATGAAGCGCAAATTATTTGCCATAAAGGGAAATTGAAGATTATTTTGGGACAAGCAAAAAGGAAATTTGGAAGATAATTGAAAGACAAAGGGAGTATTAATTTTATATTATATATTCTATACTTAAGTTCCTACCAAAATTACTCCACTGTCTATTCTACAACTTCCTTTACAATCCTGACTATTCAAGTAGTGGACGAGACCCTTATCAAAATATAAGTGAATTTGAACAAATCTAAAATATTAAATAATTTAAAACGAAATCGTGGAAAAACAACCAAAACACCCAAATGACTGGCATGATTACGTACAGCAAAAATTATTTTTAAATTGAATGGGTACTAAAAAAGAGTACCTTTTAAATCACAATTATAAAGAGAAATCGTGGTGCAAAGCATTCGGCCGGTTGTACGCTAGCTTAACCATAACCTGCAATCCAAGCCATAGTCAATACAGATGGAGATGTAAGACAGATGCAGAAATGGGCAGATATGTTCGGCCGTTTTTTAGGGGTTCAATAGTTTATCCAGAATAGGGCCCTGAATTTATGGGGCCCCAAAATTTTAAATTTCTGTTAGTATTATATAGTACAGAGTAATATTATATATTCATACTAATCAGTAAAATACAGTTAGTAAGGAAGAAAAATACAGAACCGTCATTTTTTCGTTGGTCTTTTACTATTTTAGTTCTCTTTTAATGAGTATTCAATTGATTTGAATATAAGTATTTGGATTGATATTTTGTTAAAATTTCTTATATTAATGTGGGATCTAGATTTTATATTTAGAATCAGGGCCTCCAAATTCATTAGACGGCCCTGTTCAGTAATGTAGGGAATTAGGGATAAGTAGTAAAAACACTTATCCCACATACATTTAGGGCATACTCACCTTTATCTCACAACCTTCTAGTTTCATCTACACCATATACATATGGAAAAGACATGTCCATATCTAATCGGTTTATTTCTACATAGTGACACAACTAGTACTTTTGTCAATGTTCAAACTGCCACATTTATAAATGCTATGTTTAAAATAATGTGGTTGATTCCAAAAATATATACTCCCTTAATTCAAAAAATAAAATGTAGACACACACTAAGAATAATTGTGATATTTTATATTAGAATTAATTTTTAATAGAAAAAAATGCAAACTTTCTTTAAAAGAATTGATAAGACGGGTTGATTCCGAGAATGAGTTTCTACACATTCATCAGGCAATGATTTTTAGTCTAAGATTAGATCAAGTCATATTTAAATAGATCAGATTAGATCAAATTAAAATTAAATAGATTAGAAGACAAGATCAGAATATAACAGGTCAGATCGGAACTAATAAACTTCTAATGTTTTATGAAAAAGACCTTTTATAATAAAACTTAAAATTTTAACATGATATGAGAGCTTAGTTCATCAATAGTCATGGTATTAACCCCCTAAAAATGATGACTATTATGAAAATTTGTCAATGATCACCAAAAATTGAATGATAATACGATCTAGACGTAGCGGTGGCTCTAACGATTTGGAGGCCCCAGGTGCAAAAACTTCAATGATCAAATATCATACTCCGTATTAATGTAGTTTGTATAAAACACAATCATGAAAATTGAAAAATAAGATAAAATGAATGCAAATACAACATATATTGTGAATTTCAAAACAATAAAATTTTAAATATAACCTACACAAAATGTACTAAAAAGTGTAGTTTCTAAAACTTAATTCTTCTTGCCTTTTGAAGTGCAGAATTAGTTAGGACGTCACTACAATCAAGACTAACTAACTCTTGATTCAACAAATAACATAGCTAATCCACTTAATCTATCAACTTATTCTTTTCTCAACATACTTTTTCAATAGATAATATAGCTAATCAAATCATTTCTCAACTTATTCTTTCTCTTTGTACACTCGGAATCAAATTTTCTGCTTAACCGCCATGACAAGTAACAATACTCACGTATTTAACATATTTATAAAATTATAGATAATACGGAGTAGTTAATATAAACATAGTGCACCACACTAGTGCACTACTCCAGTCCCAAGTCGGCAAGTCCCATGTCCCCCTACTCACTTGGAGACTAGCAGTTCATTAAATAAAGGGAAAACTATCAAATAAGCCCCCGTACTATACCGAAAAAGTCGATTAGGCCCCTGTACTTTACAAACACTCAATTAAGTCCTCGAATTATTAAAAAACGTTCAATTAAGCCCTTTTGGTCGGTAAGTAATCGGTTTCCCGGTTAAATGTAACCCGTTTCTCGGCAGCCGCCGTTGCTGGGGTTCGAGCACATCGTCGCCGTCACCGCCGTTTAACCGGGAAACCGGTTACTTACCAACCGAAAGGGCTTAATTGAACGTTTTTTAATAGTTCGAGGACTTAATTGGGTGTTTGTAAAGTACGAGGGCCTAATCGACTTTTTTGACATAGTACGGGGGCTTATTTGAACTAAAAACTAAATGAACCTCATAAAGACTAGAAAGTAGAAACTTGAGATCTCTAAAGAGTAAAGAGTAAAGGCTAAATACAAAACTAATTGAGTAAATGACGGAAGATTTACAGAATTGCTCATACATGATAGTCAATGGAGTACCGCAAAATCGGAAATTGCTACTGATAATCTGCTATCTACTGTCTCCTACTCTGCTACTCGGTGGAGTCAGTGGTGCCGACGTGCCGTAGTGGGGTGGTGCGGCCGTGCGGACTGGCAGAGTGCCGTGGTGACAGCCGTGTGCCGAGCTGCACAGGAGTGGAGACAAGGAGGGGTTGGAGGTGGTCATGGCCCCTCCAAGAAAAAAAAAATTCTTAAGTATATATTATGTATAAATACTTTTAATCTGTAGAAAGTATGTTAATATTTTACACTTTGGCCCCTGCAAATGTAAAATTGTTAAGGACCGACCCTTTTAACCCTAAATGTCTGGCTCCGCCACTGGAGCTGCAGGATTGGACTCTGGCGTTGCGTTTGTGAAGTCGACAATCGACTTGGTTGGCGGCGTAAGCGCGTAAGTTGTCTTTCTAACTCTAAATCCTCCAATTTCAATAATTATACGGAGTATTTAAATGGGATTATGTCCTAAATATTACTAAATTTGGGATTATGTCCTAAATATTACTAAATTTTAATCAATTCCCAAAAAGTGACCATTTTTTATGACAAAAAGTGAGTAAGAAGGTCATATTTTTGAAAACACGATGTCACTGTCAATTTTCATGTCACTTAAGAGACGGCACTACCATATACTCATGTCACTATCGGGTAAACATGTCACTTTGTCCGCCATCGTTGGTGTCCCTGCCGCCGCCGATCACAGTGACGCCACCATGTGACACACTTCCCTCAGTAAAAATGACACCTCCACTGTTATCCGCCGCTGCCAAAAACCACGGGCCACCAGACCTCCACTCTCGGAGTCCCGGTCACCGTTAGGCGCCAGCAACTCCTGTCACCACTCCCCACCCCCTTCCAGCCCCAGCAACAGCCCCAACCATAGCCCCCATCCCCTTCCCCAGACTCGCCCAACCCCACCACCGGCTCGCCAACGAACCTCCACCACTCCACCTTAAATGTATCGCTGTCGTCAACAACATCCGTTGTCGGAGAATCGATGTAGAAGGCGATGGAATTCCAGATCTGGAGCTTCGTCGCCGCGTACAACAAAGAAAGGAGAAGAAGATGAAGCAGCGGAGTCAACACATGTGTCACCATGTCGGAGATGGAGTCATTCAATCACTGTTGTCGAAGTGTGGTTGTGATCGCCGGATTCGTCGTCTTCAGCGGAGAGCGGAAGATGGATGTCGCTGGTCTGGAGAATTCCGGATGCGCTTGTGGCATAGGAAGAGTAACAGGCTTATTGGGCTGGGAGAGGTCATATGTTTGTCCTTTTAAAAATTAGCGATATTTTTGTACATTGAAAGTCCCAAAGTCATATTTGGTCCATTCTTTCTATTTAAATTTAAATTTTTAATACATACTACCGGAGTATTTAAATTTAAATTTTTAATACAGACTACTGGAGTCTAGTTGGTGTCAGTTTTGTTTTTCCCGTGATTGATGTAACAATCCGGAAACTTTTGA